CATGGCGTTGAGGAGACTGTGTCAGTTCTCAGTTCATATGGCATGATGAGACGATGCGGCTTGTCCTTCCAATTCAATCAGAGACCTTGTCAATCGTTAGCCTCATTCGTTCCAATAGAGCTTGTCCCTGCCATGGCTTTTCGGCCGCACTTTCAAGAAATCGGTTTGCATATTCGCAGCTTTTGCTATGTGCTGTCCGGGTTACCCTTCCAAGAGCTCGTTACACAACGTTGGACTCCTCAGCGGTTCCGGATCTGTCAGACCGCAACTTCGGAGCCTTGAGCGCAGCGGTATGCCTGCACCGCGCATGCACAATATGTGATATCCACATAACGAGACACGGCTTCTGTCGATGTTCGAGACAGTGCAGGGTCCCGGTGGGGCTGTTGCGATGGCGAAATCTGCTCAAGCATGAGCGACGTCGCGATGCCTCGCATCGACTAGTCAAGGCAATCACAACACCTCGCTTGCCGACAGCGACAGTGCTCTGAACACCTGCAGCTGGAGTTTCGTCCGGGTCGTCGCAGCGGTCAGCGAGCCGTGCGAGGACGCCGACATGGTACCTTGATGCCCAACGGACGATCAAGGCCGGCCTCAAGACGGACCGCACATTGTGAGATACGGCCGAGATGCCAATATACGGCTTATACGCCGGGACCGCTTCGCACATCATAAGCAAGTCATCCAAAGCCAAGGCTAAGTCGTTCTGACTGTGGTGATGCCCAACGCAAGCGACGAAATGTGGAACTGAGCACATTGCGAAACTGCAGTCCTGGATCCTCGTGGGTTCTTGTGGAAGCGAGAATGTGTGGCGGAGTCAGACAGATGTCGTGCAGTAGAGAGGCCGGTGACCCACTGTTAGAAAGCTTGACTAGACGCGAGATGTACTGAATTGTAAACTCGTTTCGAAGTCGTTGCGAGGTTCGAGATGGCTACTGTTGATGCGACAAGAAGTGTGGTAGGCAGATTCGATGAGAGGATTAGTGATCGAGTTCTTAAACCCAGAAAGGCAGCAGCCCAAGTGAAGAGGCCTTGGTAATGTGGCGTAGACTTATCCACTAGACTTCTGTTTGGCGCAAGAGGAAAGAGCACGTAAAGAGAAGAAGAGGTTTTGGGGAATGCGCATATAATGAGGTAGCTGCTTCTAGAGTTGGTAGTTCCTTCCTCCAGTCTGTTGACCACTTCGTCATCTCACCAATCGTCACTTCTTAAAGTCATCAACGGTCGACCACTGCAAGTCTTCTCTCAGTCCTATCACCACTTCAGACTCACTCTCAAACCAAGTTGTCGAACTCGCAATAGCTTCATAGCAATCATATACCCGTGCTGGTCGCGTTCCCATATCTCAATCTCTATTTCCGAACCTCAGCTTTGGCAAGAGCAATGCGCACCCAACACATGGCAGTGTGGGGAAGCAGGAACGCCATGTCGTTCTGTGCGACTGTGACTCCCACGAGCTTCGACTGCCTATCGGCATGCTCGCAAGCACGGAGCGCGAACGCCATACTATGAGTATCGTACTACCATCAACCTACGCGAAGAACTCTGAATCTTTCGCCAACGTCTGTCACCTACACCACCAATATCATTTCTTCCTCTATCATGGCTCTGTAAATATACGCATCGCGCAAAGGGGAGACACAGCAGTCTATCGCTATCACAAAAGGCATGAAGACGAGAAAGAACAACCATGTACCGCTACACTTCCGCACCTCCCTCCCACCACTCACACACCTACCTGCATCCTCCCCTCTACCCTCACAGACTCACCTCGAGATCCTACGACACAACTTACATGTCCAGACCCTACCCGTACACAGAACCACGTCGCTACAATTCCTACTACGAAACTACGTACGCACGACCCGGCACATCTCACAGACCAAGCACTTCATACCGACCCTCTCAAACAGAATATTGGAGATACGTCAAACCAGTTCAAACACAGCAGCCAGAAAGACCACCGCGCAAGAGCAATCTCAAGAAGACGGAGGGCAGACACGTTCATTTCGATCTTCCGCCTGCTCAGGGGACGTCGAGCAGGACGGTCAGGATTGCAGAGGAGGAGAGGCAGAGGGAACGGGAACGTGTTAGGGCGAGGGAGAAGGAGAGGGAGAAAGATCGAGAGAGGGATAGAGAGAGTAGAAGAGAGAGTAGAAGAGAGAGTAGAAGAGAGAGGGAAAGGGAGAGCAGATACATACCACCACCACCCCGACCCCCCATACGGCACGACGACACTAGCGATAAGATGCCTAAGAAGCAGTACGCCACCTACTCCCACTCCTTCGAATACGACTCCCAACTCCACCACCGAGAACGATATCGTTCTTCCACTCCGCCTCAACGGACCACTTTACCTCGCTCTACTTCATACCACACCCACCAATCCTCCCACCCTCCCCTCCACCAACCCACCTACCACACACCCATCCTCGCAACCCCAACCGTCTACATAATAACCTTCGCCACGGACCTCACACCTTCAGAATCCACGCGCGCCTCCCTCCTCTCCTCCCAACTCCCCATCCGCACCCCACCAATCCCACACCTTTACACCATCGACGCGCGCACCGTCCGTCCACCCTCACCCTCTCTATGCCGGGAGTACTCAGGCGTGAGTCCGCGGATCCAAGACATTGTCATGGAAGACAGTGAGGCGAGGTATGCGGCGCGGAAAGCCGTGGAGAGGGTAGTGAGGTTTGGGGAGCGCGCTAGAAGCAGGGATGGTGGAAGGGGGAGGGAGATGGAAGTCAGTCTGAGTGTGTGTTGTCACTCTGGTACACATCGCAGTGTGGCGATTGCGGAACGCATAGCGCAGTGTGTTAAGAGTGAGGTGGGGAGGAGGGGGTGTGAAGAGGGTGTTAGGGTCGTGTGTCGCCATGTTCATCGGGTTAAGGGACGGAGGGATCCTTTTTGATGGGGCTGTATTTGTTTGACCTGTGAGAGAAGTGGAAGTAGACGGAGAGTGCTGGGTTGTAATTTGGATTAGAGCACGATGGAGATGTCGTGGGAGACGGAAGAGAGCAGTGCGTGATACCCTAGACTTTTGGACACCGGGGAAATTGGAATTGGAACTTCGTATTCATTCTTCTTACATGGTAGTTGCAAAAAATCGCTATACTCCTAAATTGGCTGTGTGAACCCAGTTCATGCAGCCAGATACATCGATACCCAAAATCTGTCGATTTCTCTTGATATCGTACCTTCCTCCCCAATCTTCTTTTGTACAATCCAACCCTCTTCTGTTTTTTCTACGCGGTCTTCTTCTTTCCAATGCTAGTATCAATACTACCCACAACCCACGTAACAGCGAACACGGCAAACATGCCCAGCGTAATGACAACCGGCTTCCTGTATCCCGCAGTCCAGGGGTAGTCGTATGTGACAACGAGATCGCGATCTCTAAATTCATCGACGAGGTTGATAGCCGTGAGTTCGAGTGTGGTGCGACCAAGAGTATCCATGAACGTCTTGTGGAGGCTAGTCTCGTTGCTGACGATAGGAACGGTAGTGGAGAACTTGACGTTCTTCGCGCCTTCGGGGAGGATGACGCGGAGGTTTACGCGGCCGTAGGAGATGCCTTCGCCGGAGCGGGGGCCCTCGAGGAAGGGCACTTTGAGCGCGTAGGTGTCGCCCGTGGAGAGCTTGCGTAGGTACGAGGATAGGTCTGCGTTCCAGCCAACGCGGAAGCTGTACTTCCAGGTTCCGAAGACGGGGTAGCGCGGCTTCAGTTCTAGGAGTGCTTCTTTCTTGCCGGGGCGGAACTTGGAGGTCGAGACGTTACCGATGTCGTCGGTGAAGTAGGGGTCGACGGCGCCGGGGGCGAGGGGCAGAGCGAGGCCCTTGAGGGCGAAGGTGGGGGGGTTGAGGTAGGACTGGCGCTGCCATTCTACGCGCGAGAAGTGGTTCTTGAGACCTGCGCCTTGGTTGACGAGCCAGTAGCGCTCCTCGGATGCTAGGTTGCCGCCCCAGTGCGAGACCTCGATGTCGCGCTCCAGCAGTGTCGCGTGGGTGACGGGCTTGGTGAACTCGTAGCGCACGCTTACGGCCTGCTGGGCGCCTGCGGGCACGTTGTTGTAAAGACCGTATGTGAAGGTCGAGCCTTGCTTCTGGGGGTCGGCGGTCTGCTCGTCGTTGAGCTCCGAGGGAAGGCTCGTGTAGTCTGGCACATCGCTGTTGGGGAACTTGACCTTGGTTCGCTGCTTCTCGGTGAGGTAGGCCGAGGGTGCGTATGCGCTGAAGTCGTATTGAATGTACTGCTTGTCCGTCTGGGCGATCTGGGCGGGGACGGGCTTCAGAGCCGAGGCGATCGAGTAGGAGATGCTGATGGTTTGTTGCGCCTTGGGTGCGAGGGGCTCGGGGAGGTGGATCTTGTAGAACTCAACGGAGCTGTCCCGGTCAGTCTCGATATGTCATATCAATCGCACCATTGCCTACCTCTCTGCATCAAAGCCCACCACCTCGACCTTGAAGATGCCCTTCTCAGCCGCCTTCTTGTCTCTTACTTCGAACCCTCCGACTTTGGACAATGTGCTCGAGTCGAATGGCAGGTAGTATTCTGATTGCGCCTTGTCGTCAATGTTCTCGATTATGACATTGATCGTCTCTCTGACGTATGCCTTGTCCAGGTTCGTCGTCCGGACTAGGTTGGCATTCTTGAACACCTGCGGTGGTGTAAATGTGCTGGGTAGCACCTGCTTGGATAGCAGCGGTTGTGACAGGTTGAGTTCGGCGCTAGCGAAGCTCGAAAGCGCTGCGATGCAGCTCGTAAAGAGGAAAGACCTCATTGTTGGACCAGCAGTCAAGCTATCCAGTCATATATGAGGTCGGTGGTGAGGGAATTGGGTTGGCTGGCGGATGGCAGTCGGTGGTTACGCGGCGGATGTTGCGTCGTAGGTGTTCTCTTCGGAGTTCCCTGGCACCTCCGCGTCTTGGCGCGACAGCTCGAGCTCACCCCTCCATACCTAGCTATCTACCCACCCTCACTCTCTCACGTCACTATGAGACTTCTGGCACGTTCAATTGGTAGGCCGCGCATATCTGCCAGTCGCCATGGCATCGCGACTGCATCGGGAAGGCGCCATCTAACCAATAATGGCTTCTTCCGCGTCTCGGAGGAGGTGCGCGAAGCTCTACACTCCAAAAAGCCCGTCGTCGCGCTGGAGACGACAATTTACACTCATGGTAGGAACGAAATATATTTATACGCGCATCGCTTGCTAACTCACGTGACAGGCTTTCCCTACCCCGAAAACGTAGCCCTCGCATCCCTCCTCGAAAGCGTAGTCCGAACGAATGGCGGCATCCCAGCTACCATTGGCATTCTAGACGGTGTAGCACGTGTAGGCATGGATCCAGAAGAGCTGATCAAGCTGGCTTCTTCTGCTGGTAACCCAAACACAATGAAGCTCTCGCGACGAGACCTCGGCTATGTATGCGGTATGCGACTGACCGACAAGTCCTTCAATGGCGGTACAACTATATCAGGCACTATGCTGCTCGCTCACCTCGCTGGCATTAAGATCTTTGGAACAGGTGGCCTTGGTGGGGTTCATCGCGGCGCTGAGTCAAGCATGGATATTTCTGCCGATTTGACAGAGCTCGGCAGGACTCCGGTCACCGTTATCTCTAGTGGCTGCAAGAGCTTCCTCGATATACCGCGGACAATAGAGTACCTTGAGACTGAAGGCGTAGGCGTGGGCACCTTCGCCGATGGACGAAAAGGCAATGTAGACTTCCCTGCCTTCTGGTCGAGGGACAGTGGGGTCAAGAGTCCGACGACCATTGCGGATGAGATCGAGGCTGCTGCTGTCATATGTGAGTCTTCAAATCCTCCTTTTTGTTCCATTACTAATACCATTTAGATGCGCAACACGCACTTCAGATCTCATCTGGTCTTCTCTTCGCCAACCCCGTTCCTACCGATTTCGCTATACCCAAGGATGAAATGGATGTAATCATTGCCGAAGCTCTGAAACAAGCTGAAGCAGCCAATATCTCCGGCAAAGACAACACGCCCTTTGTGCTTGCTAAGATCAAGGAGCTCAGCAAGGGCAAGAGTATACCCGCCAACAGGGCCCTTATAGAATCGAACGTGAGACGGGCTACCATCGTAGCACGAGAGCTTGCCATACTTGAAGCAAAGCAGGAAGAAGCCCAAGGGTGAGCCAGCACTCTTGTTGCTTGATGTAGACTGGCACTGATGTAAGTATGCTAGACGAAATTCCTCTTACTTCACTCCTGTTCAGTCCAGTTCCGCATCTAGTGCAACCTCATCACCTTCTGAGTCTCCCTCTACTCCTGCCACGTCAATTCCGTCTACAAATGAGTCTCAACAAGTCCCGGATGTAGTCGTTGCAGGTGCCCTCGCGGTCGACTTTTCCTGTGACTATGCTCCGTTCACAGCTTCTGCAAGCCAAACAGAACCACTACCTCACACCTCGAACCCAGCAGTCATCACCCAAACACTCGGAGGCGTAGCGCATAACATCGCGAAGGCATCTCACCTTCTGGGCTCCTTCGTCCATCTCCACAGTGCCGTTGGTGACGACCTGAGCGGCCGCGCAGCCCTCAGCCAGCTGCAATCGGAGGGCATGCCAATAACCGGCATCAAAACTCTCCAAGCCCCATCCCGAACAGCCCAATACGTTGCCATAAACAACACGAACAAAGACCTCGCCCTCGCCATGGCCGACATGTCAATCCTCGAAACCATCCCCATCGAAACCATCCAAGAACTCGCGACCAGCATCTTCTCTCCCACCTCTCCCACCTCTCCCCGCCCCAAAGCCTTCGTCACAGACGCAAATTGGTCGTCACCCGCTCTACACACCTGGCTCCAAGCAGCCCGTCACCCCGATACAACCACGATCTTCGAGCCTGTCTCCACGGCAAAGGCGCTGCGTATATTCCCTTCCACCTCCAGCACCACGGCCGCACAATCCGTCTACCCCACCCCCCTCGTCGACATCATAACACCAAACACGTACGAACTAACCGCTCTCCACGACTTCGCCGCCCAATCCACGCTCTTCGAGTCTCCGGAATGGTTCGGTGTGATAGACGCACTGGGTATACCCAACGGCGGCTTACGCGTCCCACTAGCCGTCACCGTAGGAAGCGAACTAGTCGACCAAGGTATCCCGCAACAAACCATCAAACTCCTTCCCTTTTTTCCTACTATCCTAACGAAATTGGGGAGCAAGGGTGTGTTGATGACGAAATTGCTCGCGGAGGATGCGGAAGAGTTGTATGATGAGAAGGAGAGGGGGTATGTTCTTGCGAGGAATATGTCGGCGTCGGCTGATGCAGCTGGTGGAGATGGGAAGGGGAAGGGTGTTGGTGGTCTTTATATAAGACTGTTTCCGGTGGAGAAGGTGCTGCAGCCGAATGAGGTGGTTAGTGTGAATGGGATTGGAGACACGTTTTGTGGGGCGGTAGCGCATGGGTTGGGACTGGGATTAAGGGTTAAGGATGTTGTGGGGTTTGCGCAGAGGGCGGCGGGGGAGAGTTTGAGGAGTAGGGAGGCGGTGGGGGAGGGGTTGAGGGGGCTGAGACTGTAGACTTGCACGGTGGAGGTGTGTGTGAAGGTGGATGTTTCCATATGGAGTACTAAGATGGGTGTGTTGAGAACATCTTGTTGATCCTGCATGAGAGATAGACGCAGTCTAAGAATACTGGTTTGACAAGTCTGTGTACAGAATGCTACAAAGTATCGGCTTTGTAATTGCACAACTACCTGCTTCGACCGATTCATACACACACACACACACACACACACAAGCTCACACCATCACACCTCCCCTCATCAATCCCACAAGAATAACTAGTCATCTTCCTACTCAGCACTTTCAAGCCGAGATATCGGATTTTGAACTATAGCAGAGGGTTTGGAGGGGTTCTCCATGGAAGGGTTTCAGAATCGTTTGTTTTGGATACGCGAGCTGCTGGAGCGGGATCTCATCAAATGGGGAAGCGTCTTTTTTTGGAGGGAAGAACTCCAGAACATGTGGTGATGGTTTGAATTTTTTGGAGTAGGCAAGCAGTAGTGTAGTGAAGGAGGGTGAGTGTGGATGTAGAGTTTATATATGCGTCAATTGATTCATGAGGTCAGGGACGTTGGATTTTGAAGTTAATAGTTTGAGGTATCATAATGACCTCTACAGAGCTGTCAAACACACAAAATGACTGCAGAGCAGTTTTGATCTCTCGCATAAAAGTCCTCAAGCATACTTTCAGTAATGTGTCTCAGTTGCGCACCCATATTGGTTGATGTTCCAGATTTTTACGGGAACGGCGCAAACATTGAACAGACAGGCGTAGTTTTGGAATGTGAGAAAGCGAGAAAACCCGGGTCTCTGTCCATGGTTGAGAATGTTAGATGCTTTAGAGATGCTCTCAATGGGTCTTTTTGCATTCGTGTTTTGGTCGCACGGATCGTCTTCTCGAATTCTCATCGCAATGTTGCTTAGTTGTTTTGGTTCGGCGAGGAGATTCTCAGTCCATCAGTTGCTGAATGATGCGTTTTGGAAAGTAAAGGAAGAAGTGTTGTGAAGGAGATATCGTTGAAAGCTGGGGTTTATATATTGCTAAAGACGTGGCCATAGCGCAGTGTGTTCTTAGCGGCTTAGTCTCTCTTTTTGTATTTCCAGCTCAAAGCTCTCAGTCACATGAAGTGATGTACCTCGTCTTTCCAGGACGAACACATGGCTCTGCTCTGGCTCTGCTTTGGAATTGCAATAGCTGATATCAAATGCCACGGTCTCGAGCTCATCATTGTCTTCCTCATTTTCTTTTAGGAAGGAAGGACAAACATTCCAGACTCTGAGTGCAATCTTTGGAAAGAGAGAAGAACATCAGACTCTTCTGATTTTTTTTGGTAAACCCAAGGAGCTGAGTGTAATAAACAAGAGTAAGATCAAAGGTCACCGCCCCGGTATTTATACACACAGCTGCCCCACTAGGAGACACCCATATAAAGAAGCGGCAGATGTGTGTTTAGTGTTACAAGCTCAACATCCTCAGCCACATCATCAACCTCAGTCGCGATTTTTCGGACGCACACATGGACTTGTCCAGGATGTGTTTAAGAGATACTGTAGGCAATGCCAAATCCCACAGTCTCGAACTCATGACACTCTTTTTGGGCGTTCTGGAAGGGAGGAAGAACATCCAAGGCGCCAGTTACTGTTTTGAAAAAGAAGAAGAGAACATTCAACTGAGATAGTACCCTTTTTGGTAGACTCAGGAAGAGAGTGTGATGAAAAGGAGTAAAGGTAACCGCAGCGGTATTTATATACACAGCTTCCGAACAGCCAGACACCACGTATGAAGTCGTTATGTACATTTTTGGTGCTCCAAGCTCCACGCTCTCGAACACATCATCATCCTGAATGCACGTTTTTTGACGCCACACGTGTACTGCGATGTTTACAGCATACGTGAAAATGTGGCGGTTTCCAGAATTCAAAAGACTCGGCTCCATTCACACTTGCAATGCAGGTTTCAGGAAAGACAGCACACAGCCATTGCTGGGTGGCAATCTGTTTTTGGAAAGACAGAAGACCATCAAGCATTCCCACATCGTTTTTGAGAATACGTGGGAAAAGAATAGAGAGGAAAGAGGTTTGCTCAGACCCATGTATAGAACCGGTGATATGTTCGGCAACCTGGCTGACGCGAGATCCCGGAGGGTCGGTCTCATAGCTTTGTTTCTGGCGGTTTTGAGGAAAGAAGGCGCAAAGACATTTCTAGGTCAAGGAGCCTTTTTGGAAAAAAGAAGGAATACCATTCACGCCAGGAACGCCTCTTTTGGTAAACTCAAGAAGTAGAGTGTGATACAGAAGAATGAAGGTGCTGCCGGTAGTATTTATACCCGACCATCCCATGCAGAGAAACAGCTCATATCTCACCGAGGAAAGCTTTTAGGTATTGATGAGATAAATCTCGCACTCATCTCCCGCATCACACCGTTTCTGTTCTTTTTGAGATGGCAGCGAGACAGTGTGGGCATGTGTTCGCTGTTGTGCCTTTTCAGCAGAACATGGAGAGGAGCTGAGGACTTTCAGGCGCGTTCAGGCCGGCGAGAAGGACATAATCGAGGGCTTCGATTGTTTTGGAGAGACTCTCCAGGCCAGACAGGACATTTGTAAAAGCCTACGAAGTTTTGATCCCGAAGGATAAAGTGGTAGATAATAGGAAGAAGGTAGCAGACGCAGTGATCGAGGGTTTATATACCCCGAATCTGCTGCAGGAAGAGGAGAGAGCCGCAGTCCATGAAACATGTCAGTGGATGTTTTGTAGTAGGAACGATCTTCGCAAGTCCCAGTCGCTCTCGACCATAGTAGCGACATCTTGTTTTTTGAGAGAAGCACACCCCATGTCCTTCTTCCTCTTTCTCTCCGCTGTTGCAATCCCCAGCGCAATGCCGCATCATCCTTGTGCCTGATGGATCTTTCGGTCACTCCGACGAACGCGCCATACTTCGCTTCCTCCTGTGTTTTTGGTAAAACTCTGTAGACTCTTTGAGGTAGACAAAAGAAGAGAAACCGAACAGCGAAAGAGGGATTTATATACTCCCCAGCCAGTCCGCACAACCGCGCAGGAAGCAGAGACGCCGGAGACCATGCGGCATATCGCTAGCGTTTTGGATCTTTGGGTAATGTTGTGAAGACCTCCGCGATCGCTCCATCCTGTGACAGATTCGATATTTCGAAGTTCGCACAAGTTATGCCGGGTTCCCGTAGATGTTTTTTGGACGCGGGAAGAGAACATGTATTGGTTGAGGCATCTTTTTAGAGGCGCGCACACGCCATACCAGTGTCCTATGCTGAGTTTTGGTGCTCTCAGCCGGACACCCATGCGTCCACTGTCTAGCTATTTTTGGAAAAGAAAGTAAGAGTTTGTGGTGTAGAAAAGAGAAGCAGAGCGAACTCTGAGGTGTTTATATACCCTCACACCTCACTAGCGCGTAAGAGGTCGAAGAGGCAGTACACCCACAGGCCACTGCGGGGTTAACCTATGCTTTCAGTTTCGAATATGCAAGTTCTCACAGACCTCTCTCTCATAACATCGCTAGCTGCTAGTTTCTCGTCTCCAGCCTTTCCCTGGAAGGTGTATATGGTAGTTTCTCGCAGGAAGGCTCGTCATGGCAGGGACTTGAAGAAGATTTTGAGTTCTGCAGAAGGGAGGGAACAGACTTCGATCATCTTGACCCTGACTTTGAGGGAGACCGAAGCATGGATGCGTAGGAATTCCATTTTTGGAAAGAGCGAACAGAGAACCATGGGAGTGTCGTAGCTTGCTTTTGGTAAATCCCCGAAGGGAGTGGTGGTAATGAGGAAAGAAGAAGAGGTTGAGAAGGTAGAATTTATAGCCGCGTCTTGCACTACTCCGTGGCAGTAACGACCAGATACTCGCTAAACGAGCTCATGAAGGTCTGTCTTTTGTCTTTTGGAGACCACACCGCTCTCAATCTCTCATATGAACATGTTATCGTCCTTTTGGAAACATGTAAATAACGAAGGTGAGTTTTGAGTGAAAGACCGGAAAGCGGAGGAGAGCGGCACATTTCATCGTTGCCTCATAGTTTTTCGAAGAAAGAAGGAGCAGAAGCAACATTGGCGCATGCTTGGTCGTTTTTGATAAGAGCCCAAAGGCGTGTGGAGTGATGGAGACAAGAACGAGGTAGAAGAGGGGGTTTATATATTCATCCACGCGCTCAGCCACTGTTCCGCATTGGCTCTAAGGTTTGGAAGCAGGAGAACGGGCAGCCATCATGTGAATCTCATTAGCTTTTGGTACGACAACCCCACTCCAGCTCTCTCCATGAATAGATCCTCGAACGGTTTTGGTAGACGCAGGGGAACCACTCCATCATCTTTCAGTGTGGGCTTTTCTCGCACAGCCATGTAGAACTTCTCACAGAGTTTTCTGACACACCCATGTGGCCTAAGTGTGCTTATTTTAGAGCCTGTAAAAGAGGCGCACAGGACAAACTCCATTCCAGGCCTGGAGGAAATTTTTGAAGAAGAGCGAGACAATTCATGTACGTCTTGTTTTTGTGTTTTTGTGTTTTCAGAGACAGGCGGAGAGGACAGCGGACTCCATAACGTGTTTGAATAGATCTTTCAGTGTAGAAAGAAGATTAAGGAAGCGAAACGCTCCATTAGTAGCTCGTATGGAAGTTTAAGAGGAAGCCGGAGCAGACATTTGTTGTGGATGTCTTGATTTTGAAGAGCAAGAGAGGGAGAAACTCCATTTATAAGGTGTGAAGCCAGTTTGGAGAAAGGCAGGGAAGCAGACAGACTCCATGCAAGCTTTGTCATGTCTTTCTTCGTGGAGAGAAAGGCAGGCAGACACACTCCACTTTTCGGTTCTCAGTCAATTCTGGTGTAAAAGGCGAACAGAGAAGCCCTCCCCCTCATGGTTCGAGGCTTGCAGATTTTTGGAAGAAAGAGCAGACACACTCCATATTAGCTGCTTTTGTTGTTTTTGGTAAAAGCACAGTCAAGTGCGTAGGATAAAGAGACAAGAAAGGCAGTCGAGAGAGTCGTTTATATACCCCAACCTCACTCCTCTGTCCTCTCCATCTTCGTTGCTCTCTGGTCTTTCGGCAAATAGGCGGTGGAGTACGAGCGCACCGCTCATCTATGATGCCATCAAGTGCTTTTGATGTGGAAAATCCGAGAGAGTCTGATCTCATAGGTTCAATAGAGATAGTTTTTTTGGCAAAGAAGGAGGAGCACACCATGTCGGAGATTTGTACATGGTTTGGTGTTTAGACATGTATTCAGACATGTCAGTTTTTAGATTTCCGGCGCCGAGGAGACCGCACATGTAAATACCATTGCGTACTTGTGGAAAAAGCGGGAAAGAAGCGC